CATAGTTGTTTTCTCTCTAGTTAACCATAGATTGGACCCGAGGTTGTGGGGAAATGAAACATTGTCAACCCTATTTTTAATCAGAGGTTTGGCATCATTCTTTTAAGTTTAGGGCATGTCGGTAAGGTGACATTATTATAGGTATTAATTTATAGATAGCCCCCCACCTCTCGAGTACTTGGAGTGAAAGATAATTGTGTATTTATTGCATATACAAATGGATATATATGTATTTTTATATATTTATATATATATATATATATGTATATATATCTGTACATATATCTCTATATATCTATAATGATATATATATATATATATATATATATATATATATATATATATATATATATATATATATATATATATATATATATATATATAAACAAACAAGAATGTAGTAAAGCTTCCATCAAGAAACACAACATGCCATTACATATATTTGCTAGGGGCTCTTTTGGTTGAGTAGTTTGGATAGATAGGTAGAGATGGGATATATAATATTGGGATTAAAATGGTGATGTGTAACAACAAACACTACATTTGGATTGTGGTATTGTCACATGTTTGTTAATCATGTGATGAACAAATTCATGTTTTGTTTCCTTGATTTTGCTGTCTTATTTGTGATTATTTGCAAAAAGTCCGAAATGCCCTTAAATAGTATTAATTATTTGCCCATCTTCTTCTTCTTTGGATCCCCAATTGGAAAACCGAAAAATCATTCATAGTTTTTGCCATCACCCTTAAATTGACTGTATAAAATTGAAGGGAACACCTTACCTTAGGTTCCATTGTTGAGTTGAATTGTAAAATGAGTACCGATAGTAGTAGTTCGAGGAGGAGTGCGAGCAACAACAACTACAATCGTTTGGAATAAAATTGCGAGCAACTTAAAAATTGTGAATGCGATTTGAAGCTCGTTTTACAAACTGCTGGATTTAATAAAGATAGAAGAAGAAGAAGAAGAAGAAGAAGAAGAAGAAGATTTTAACATACCCAAACCCCAATTATGAATCTGAAATTGGGACTCTTCTACCTGCTAATATCGGTCCTTATCTAAGATCTTCATAGCTACCTACCATTGTCGTAAAATGTTAAAAGAAGATGGTATGCAATCGATTTACTGTAACTTGAAAAATGGAGTACGATCTTGAAGGGAATTTCTCTCCTCCAAAATTAGGGTTCAGTATGAAGGCAAAGTTGGGAAGAAGATGACTATTTATATGTAATAAATTAGTAATTGTTGTATGTTTGGAGGGCAGTTTTGTATTTCACAATGTATTATAGGATGGCATTATTTGGTGATAAATAGTCAAGCCAAATTTGGCTTGACAAATTATAATTCGATTGAGGGATAAAAGTGGTGGGCCCACTAATCAAGGCTTGGAAAAACATCCAAACCAAACATTGTACTACCAGTTACTGCTGGTCCCATCAAGGCTAATAACTCAAACCAAAAGGCCCCTAGAGATATTATTAATCCTCCAACATATTACATATATGTATGTCATTATTTGCCTATAGATGCATTCATATATGTAATTATTTGCCTATAGTATACATACATGTATTTTTTTTTTTTTTTTTTTTTTTTTTGGTAATGCAGGAACCCGCAGCCAACCATATAGGTGCACTGGGTAAACCTACACTCTCGTATAATAGCTTGCAAACCATACGAGAGATGTAAACCACACTAGGCTAACCATGTGTGACAAGCTCGACCTAGCGACCGTTGACAAGGGGATTCGAACTTGGGTCAATTGACCCAAGCTCCCTTGCTCCAACCGCTAGGCCACCCTTGCGGGTTACATACATGTATTTATATATATGCATGAGTGACAAGGTGCGTAGCAATAGCAAGTAAATTTGGTCCCTTGGCAATCGCCGCCATGGTGGTAGCCCTCGCTTCGGCACACACGAGCGCACGCACTATTTTCACGGCACAACCCCAAGAACTTATGGCTTCTTTGCAAGCACCAGTAGTTGCTTTCATCATCTTCAACATTACTATTCACTGCCCTTCCTATTTCTGTATAATCAAAATAGTACATTATTGAAATGAATGTCACACCATATTTAATTTTATTAATTAATCATCATAGCCAAATTAAATAAGATAAAAGATAAATTACAACCAACCAACCCCTGAGGTAAGGTTAAATTAGTAAAAAAATCTCTTATGTTTGGGTAATTACAATTACCCTCAACTATGAATCTTATTACACGTTATGGTGTCAAATTCAACATAATCTTCTATATTCCGAGGTACATTTTCTAGTTTGTACTCGTTTTGTGAAAAAAAATGCAGTTTTTAATGCTCCAAAATCTGATATATACAAGCCAAAAAACACTCGTTTTGCTTCAAAGATTGGCGCTCGAATGCGACAAAACGAGTATAAACTTGAGAATATTCCACTAAATTTGACACCATACCGTAAGGGTGGACGTGTAAGAAGATTCATAGTTGATTGTAATTACCCGAACAGGAGGGAGAGTTTTTCGTAATTTGAGCTTACCTCAGGGGTGGCCGTAATTAATTACACTAGAATAAATAAAACCCAATATGAGAGGGGTTGAACCAGTGATGACGAGAAGCATTAGGAGGAAATTAGCAGCAGTAGCTCTGTTGCAGTCATGGTGAAAAGGCTTTGGGAAGAAAGATAATTGAGTGACAATGCTTGTATGCTTTGGCTATACTATATTTGAGGGGCTCTTATATATAGATATTATGAAAATATACTTACAAAGGATTATTTTTTTTATTTTCTTTTTTTTGTAATTTCGATTTTCTGAGGGAACCTCCAACCACAGGTATGGGGTGAATATATGTATCTGTTTTTGGTGCAATAATTTCGAATGAAATAGGACTAAAAATACTATTTTTGCATAATTATTGTATGTAAATTTAAATAAGACAACTTATAGGACTAAATCTCTAGAAAGACAAACATACGGGACGTTCCCAGAGAAATAATATAATTAAGCATGCACCATTACAAAGAGATATATATATATATGCTAGCTAGAGCCTAGAGCATATATATATATAATTATTTACATGTAGATACATACATACATACATACATAATATACATACATATATATCACACATGATGATGCCGCGGCGGCCGATCAGCAGCGGTTGTAGCACAAGCATCTCCGGCGAATCCCCTGACAATCGCCGCCTTGGAAACCCTCGCGCTTGCACACATCAGTACACCGGATATCACTCAGACAAACTCCCCAGAATTTCTTGCTCTTGTACTTGCACACTTTCTTTTCATCCTCTACAGTTCCCACCTCCTTCACCGCCCATGCAGTTTCTGCAACCAATTAATTATTCATTATCTTATATATATACAATAAATAAAAACCCCAATTCTGAATATTTATATTTAATAAATTTAAATATTTGAGTTAGAGCAAGGAGAAAAACCAGAAATGAAGAGAAGCAGGAGCAGCAGGAAAGCAGCAATTCTTGTACTAGCCATGGTGAAAATTAATTAATTAATTAGCTTTGAGATTTTTTCTTATTGAGGAGATGTAATATAGAATGAGCTATATTTATACACTCAATAGTCTCGAGGGGGTCTTATATAGGTTTAATCGATGTTACACTCGGTGAAATACATCGGGTGATTATTAAATTTATATATAATAACACACATTCGTATGTATGTGCATGTATTTAGTCTAAATTTATTTCGGTACATCACTTTTAAATACATTAGTTGACTGATTATTAGCTGTTGATTTGTATATAAACAACTCACACTCGTGTGTGTATATGTGCTTAGTGAAAAGTTATTCCCAAAGATCACATTATTGGAATATCAAATGATAAATAAATATATGAAATAAAGGAAGAAAGTTTAAAACAAAATATTATTTAAGTAAGAAAAAGAAATAGAAAAAATAGAAAAGAAAGTGAAATTTTCCAAAATTCTTACATATGCAAGATCGAGAAGATAAGAATAAGGAATACTTTGTTCACTTTGGATTTATTGCTACTATCGTTTGTCTTCACTCTTTTGGAAAAGAAAAAAAGAATTTATTTTTAATTTTAATTTTTTTAAAGAGTTGAAAAGCAATTTTAAAAAGTAAATTCCTAAATAAGATTTTTTTATATATTTTTTTCATTATTTACTAAACTAAATATCTTAACTATAGCCTTGACTATAAACTATTTTAATTAAAATTATCAAAATCGAACAGCACCGCACTTGCGTCATTATCATAAACATGTTGATTGTGCTTTGTAGCACAAGGACAAGTGTCCTTACACGTGTATCTATTTAACATGCATTTGACACACGTGCGATGCCTGTAACTATGAACGAGGATGGTTTTACACGTGGAAGTTTTTCTTTATGCACGTGGTTTACATATGTTGCTTTGTTTTATTTGGAAAATTAAAATGACATGTATATCCTTAACTCTGAAAGAATTAACTCAAAAATACAGATTTGGGGCAAATCACATCGAAATATATAATTTGTAAGAGAAAAGTGCACAACTGATATTTTTAGTATTTTTAGGGGGCGAGGTGCAATTTTCCATTTAAAATATATGTATATTTCTCTCAAACAAAAATTATAAATATGTATTTATCGTGCATCATACGAGTGCATTTATTAGAGAAGGAATATTAATTTGGAATCAGAATATGATAAATAAATGCCCACAAAATGAATAAAATCACAATTATTGCTTGAATTGGGCCTTACAAAATTAAATGAAGTTTCGTAGGCAAAATAATTGGAAGCCCAATAATCCGGCCCGATTAATCAATTGACCTTGTTAATCGGGCCCTAAGTTTGTAGTCAAAGTCTTCCTCAACTTTAGTTAGCTTGTACAATCTAATTTTAGTTTACCAAAATAATTTAATTTTTTTTCAAAAAGAAAAAAAAAAGAAATAATTAAAATTTGGGGCAGATTAATTATTGCCCCTAATATTAAAATAAAATAATAATAAATCCATCCGTATAGATATACTGAGACAATTTTACGATTTAAGCCCCAATGTCTTGCTCACAAATGTATAATTACAATAAAACCACATATATATATATATATATATATATTTATACATATGAAGAAAAATAATTAATTAAAGGTATGATGGATCAAGAGGCGTTAGATGAACGGCAGTGATTGTAGCAATAGCATCGACGGCGGAAACCCTCGCAATCACCGCCTTCAAATCCCTCGCCCTTGCAAACATCGTTGCACCTTATATCATTGAAGCACAGCCCCCAGTACTTCTTGCTCTTGTACTTGCACACGTTGTTTCCCTCCGCCACGTCAGCTCTTGTTTCTGCACCCACATTATTATTGCACCAACAAATGTTAATTTAATTATATTGGATTATAATATTCACATTTTTTTTTCTAGTATATATCTAATAATATATATTATGCAATTACATGATATTCTTTTTTTTTCTCATGATTTGATCCAAATTCAAAAAATTCAGCAAATTCGAAATGTTCTCTTCGCATTTATCTTTATTTACCAACTAACCCCCCAATAAGTGTGTGGTTTGCAAAATAGAAACAAAAATATTAAAGGGATATTTGCAATTTGTTTTTATAAATACTAGCATTTTTTCCCCGTGCGATGCACGGGATATTATTCCAAAGTGAAAAAAAAATAATCAATTGAATACATAATAAGAAAATATAGTATACTAACATAGTAAAATTTAATAATATAGTATTATTCATATTTTATATAACATTAGTTTTTTAAATCTGCCATATTAAGATTTAAAATATTTATAGAAGTACCATTAGGTAGGATTTTTCGCGGTTTAGTTTCAATTTTAATAATTGTTTAAAATTATAGTTAGAAATTAGTAAAGAAAAAAATATTAAAAATACTTAATTACAGAAATATCATTAGGATTTTTAGGATTGCCCAGCGTTTCTTTCTTTTATATATAAGATAGGTCAAATATATATCATGAATAACTTTTTTTTTGCTTTCTTTAATAATATATAGTGCAAAAATCAAATCGAAGTAATTAATTAATGAATGGGAAAAATATAGTTTTCGTCGCTCACGTTGGCATCAATTTCACATTTGTTCCCTCATGTTCACAAAAAAAAAAACAAAAAAAAAAACACATTTGATCCCATCATGTTTAAAAAATACAACGCATTTACTCATTTCCGTCAATTTTCCGTTAAAACTAACGGAATCGAGCATATGCCCATCAATGACTTAAGAGACAGACTAACGGTAAATTGACAGAAATGACCGAAAGCGTTATATTATTGAAACATGAGAGACCAAATGTAGTTTTTGTGAAACATAAGGGACCAAATATAAAATCGGCACAAACTCGAGGATGAAAACTGTAAATTTTCGATTAACGGATACATAATTAAGATGATAGAAATAAAAAAAGACCAGTGGTAAGGAGAAGCATTAGCAGGAAAACGACAGCAGTAGTCATGGTGAAAAACTTGGAGTATTTCATCTCTAAATATACATACATATGAGTATATCTATATATATGTACAATTTGATAAATCTCTTATTACATGTATATATATATAGTCGTGAAAAGAATATTTGAATTAAATTAGGGATAAGGCAATTCGTTAAAGTCGCATTTATTATATGTAGATAAGAATCAAAGGAAAAAAAAAATGTTTCTTGTTTGAATGGAGGAAATTATATGTTATTAGATTTTTACTTGCAATTGTCAAAACTAAGTCATGCTTAATAAATTTCTTGGCCCCTTAGTTGATTAAATAATTTTATTTTTCCTCACTTGATTAATTCTTATGTATTTATTATCAATATGTGGATTTACGCATTGTTGCGATTTTGCAATTTTGTTATTTTGGATAAAAGTAACTAATTTTTCGTCAAATATTTTTCATTAAGTGTGTAATCAATAATCACAAATTCACAACTGATCTATATTATATGATTTTAAATCGTAAATCTCTATATATATATATATATATATATATATATATATATATATATATATAAATGTGTGTCTTATTATGTACAGATCAATGATATAAATTTACATGATACATATTTCACCAGTTGTATGTTCTTCGAAACCACAAGGACCAAGTGGTTTTAAATGCAATTTCCTAAGTACTTTCTGGATCAGCCAATCCAATAAATTAAATAATATTAGTCAAAGGTTGGTCAAAAAAAATAAGCTATACATAACTGTCCAATTAATCATTTTGTTCAAACCAACTACATTATTTGCTAATTAAAATACTTATTCCGATGCAATAATCAAATTCAATTTTTAATTTAAAAACCTAACCTTATTCCCATCCTTAATCAATCTCTTGTTACTTGTCATTATAAATCATAAATGTTATTCTGAATGCCCGGTCTAATTATTATTTAAAAAAGAAAAATCATTTTTAAAATCACAAATAATTCCTTGAAATTTTTTTTTGTTTTACAAAGATTGCTCCAATACCTGAGTTTTAATTTTTCTATAGATAAGTCAAATCTTGGCGTAACCTTCTCTGTAATTTGAGATGCTACACCCGATGAAATACATTTGATAATTTTAACCATTAATGTGGTGAAATAATTTTCCCTAAATACACATACACATGAGTGCATGTAATTATATGCAGATCAACGGTTAATAATCATTCAATGTATTTCACCAGGTGTAGCATTAGTTCCACCAAACAAGAATAACACCCAACAATTTTAATGATACACAAACCCAATTATTTACATCTAATTTTTTTATTAATCAACTTGACCATTCACCAATCGAATGGCACAAAACATTAATTATAGTATTTAAATAATTTAGAAATAAAGATTAATTAGATCAAGTACCACGAAGTTCGAGTTAAATTTCCTAGTCAACTTCTTTCTTTTATTTTCAATCAAAAGTTCAAAACAATCCAACCTTATGTTAGGTATGAAATCAAAAATAATTAAAAAAAAAATCAATAAAAAAATCAGAACATCAGGTTCACCATGTGGCTTAAAAATAAAAATTATCCATTCTGCTGCAGCACCTATCTCCATACAATATTCAATTTCTCTTTTCACAGTCTTTCTTGGGGGGGCTCAATCTAATATATATAAAATATATGTACTTGGTCATAAATACACAAACTATTCCAACTTGTTAGATCAAGCACTTCTCTCTCAAAAAAAATCAAGAATGGAGGAGGAGAACAACAACATTGTATCGAGTACTCGCGAAAGCGATCAACCCCCGCTCCCCGATTACCACGGCTACATCACGGTACTCAGCATCGACGGCGGCGGGATCAAAGGTATTCTCCCCGCCGTCATCCTCGATTTCCTCGAATCGCAACTACAGGTAACCAACCTCACAATCAAATCTAATCTCGTACCAATTTATATAAAATATTTATATATAAATATCATGCAAATTAAAATTTGTATAATATATATATATATATAGGAGCTAGACGGAGATCACGTGAGACTCGCGGACTATTTCGATGTGATCGCTGGGACGAGCACCGGGGGGCTCGTGACAGCCATGATCACATCCCCGGACGAAAACAACCGACCCCTTTACGCCGCGAAGGATATCACGCCTTTCTACTTAGAAAATTGCCCCAAGATTTTCCCGCAAAAGCGGTACGATCTATATATTATTTTTTTTTCGATTTTTTTTTCTTCGGATTTTTTCGATTGTTTTATTCGACGAGTGAGTGAATGATTGAATTTCGCAGGAGGTATTTGCCATTTGAGAAAACAATGAGATCTTTGCTTGGACCATTATATGATGGGAAGCATTTGCGTAGGATATTGGAAGAGAAATTGAAGGGTATAAAGTTGAGCCAAGCTATAACTAATGTTATTATTCCAGCTTTTGATATCAAGCGTTTGCAGCCTGTTATTTTCTCCACTTATGAGGTATTTTTTTTTATTTAATTATTTTTTTTTATTTTCCAGCTTTTAGATTTGCCCCACTGAAATTAGTTCCTTTAATTTGTGGGGGAAAAATAATACAATGTAGTCCCTCACTTATGGAAATTGTGTTATTTCCTCGATCTCTACATAAATATTTATTAAGGGTGCAAATTTAGATCGGATGGTCTGTTTTAATAGGAAAATCGAATGCCATAGAATAATTAACACGGGGATAGTTTAAATAAAAATATAATTAGAATTCTAATGATTGAAAAAAAAAAGGAAAAAAAAAAAAAACCAGCAGAACCCATAACCCCTCTAACCCTAATTATAATCAACGTGATTTATTAAGAGTTAAGACTTAAGAATACCACATGTTAACAATTAGTGGAATCCGATTTATACAAAATATCTGCTGATTCGCTCAGAATTTAATCTCATTCATTAATGATAATTGGCGAAATTGGTTAAGAAAATTAAGACCACCGAACTCTAAAATCTCTATTATTTTATATAAATATTATAAAAAGAAAATGGTTTGTAAAATCATTATCGACCTCCTCCCATAATATTTTTTTATATTGAATTCGGCTCTTCTAGACTTAAAATCATGGCTCCGCTTATGTGCTAAACAACACATATTAGGGGAAAATAATTATTGGTGGAGAGATTATTCAAAATAAACGGATTTATTATTATTTTTTGTTGGGATAAATTTTGAAATGTTACGTTTGAAATTTGTCCTATATGTAATTACGACAACATCCAGTCTCTTTCTAAGTTACACCTACCCCAATTGAAACAATTTATATTATAAATTAAATTGCTTTCAGATTTATTATTATATTTATTCTCTTATGTCAAGGGTATTATTTAATAATTTATATGTAATTTATTCTCTTCATTATTATATGAGTGTTACGGTACCAGCACGTCGTTGTAAACCAACAAAAATTCAAGAAAGTTAATTAATTACTGATTTAATTTTAATTTGTGCAGGCAAAAAGATCCCCTTTGTTAGATGCTAAATTTTCAGACATATGCATAAGTACTTCAGCAGCTCCCACTTTTCTCCCCGGTCACGAATTCATCGTAAAAGACGATCTAAACTGTCTTGAAAAAGAGTACAATCTCATCGACGGTGGTGTCGCTGCAAATAATCCGGTACACATATAACATATATTAATTTAATTTACCCATTTTCAAAAAAAAAAAAATTATTTGAAATTAATTGCGTATATATATTCATATTGTAGACATTGATAGCGATAACGGAGGTGACGAAAAAGATGTTCGAGAGCAACACGGACTACTTCCGGATGGCGCCGGTGGACTATCCGCAACTTCTAACGATATCAATCGGGACGGGTGCAGCGAGAGTCGACGAAAAATATAATGCGAAAATTGCATCAAAATGGGGAATTATGGATTGGCTGTTACATGGTGGGACCACACCTTTGCTTGAGATTTTTAGTCAATCTAGTGCTGATATGGTTGACTTTCACTCCTCTTTGCTGTTCCAAGCTTTTTACTCCGAGCATAACTACCTTCGAATCCAGGTAGGATTTTTTTTTTTTTTTTTTAATTCTTTAATTAATCAATTGCAAATATAGTTAATTTATTAAATTTTTTTTTTTGGGTTGACAAATTTATAGGATGATACATTAAGTGGTATTGAAAATACGGTAGATGTTGCCACACAAGACAACTTGGAGAGACTAGTCGCAATTGGTCAACGGTTGCTTAATAACCCGGTTTCCAGGGTTAATTTGGAAACCGGTCAAACCGAACCGATCAAAGATGGTGGCACAAATCAGGCTGCTATCAAAAGGTATTATTATTACTATTGTTTTATTTTTGGATAAATTACGGCCACCCTTAAGGTATGGTCAAATTCATGGCCGGTTCTGAGGTCGCCCCTGCCCGTCCAATTTCATTGGGGCCCAAATTTTCAATTTTTTAATATATATTATATTTATTTTTATGTGCAAAAATTGTTTTATTGTTTAAAAAAAATTATTTTTCAATTTTTTTAATAAAAAGATTTCTACTTTTTTATTTTTTTTATAAATTTATTTTAAAAACTAATTCAAAATTTAACATTTTTTTTATTCTAACATTTACTTCACAGAGAAGTGTTTTATTTAGATATTAATATTTTCAAACTTCTATTTATGATGTTTATGTTAATAAATAATTTAATTAAGCTTAAGATGTAGAAAAAAAAATTCGAACATCGCACCCGAACTACCGAACAATTATATTCTCGCCCCGGGACCCCGAGTACGCCGGACCGGCCCTGGTCAAATTACAAAAAACTCACTATGTTTGGGTATTCACAACCAGCCCTTAACTATGAATCTTCTTACATGTCAATCTAACGGTGTCAAATTTAGTGGAATCTTCTAGATTATGTGGCATGTTCTTCAATTTTTACCCGTTTTACCCCCTTCAAGCTTCACAAACTAGAGAACATTATACAGGGAATCTAGAAAATTATGTTGACACCATAAAGGTGGACGTGTAAGAAGACTCATAGTTGAGGGTGGTGGTCGTAATTACTCAAACAAGAGGGGTTTTTGTAATTTAACCATACCTCAGAGGGTGACCGTAATTTACCCTTAATTTATTATTATTATTATTATTATTATTATTATTATTATTATTATTATTATTATTATTATTATTATTATTATTATTATTATTATTATTATTATTATTATTATTATTATTATTATTATTATTATTATTATTATTATTATTATTATTATTATTATTATTTTATTTTATTTTTTAGTAAATTCAAGTCCATTACAAGGGGAAGTAGGGGAGGGGGGACTCGAACCCTAGACCTTTACCCTACTGGTAAAGGCTAGGTACCAACTCTTCTAATGAGGATTGGTAATTTTTTTTTTTTTTTAATTGGACAGGTTTGCACGTTTATTGTCACATGAAAGGAGAATGCGAGAGGTGAAGAAAATGACCGACCGGCCACCGGTTGTTACCCGCTTAACAACGACGGCCGCTGTCGGAAATAGGGGTAAAATGGACTTTTCGGTGAATAATTCTTTTAATCACAGGCTTACTTTTTGTCCCATGTTTTCCATTAATGCTTTCACTTCCTCGGCTAAACTATTTTCCAAATGAACAATACTTCGTGTATCATTGGGATGTAATTTTATTTATTTTTTTAAAAGAAACTATCGAATAATTTATGGGATTTCATACATTTTATTGTAGTTATCGAAGAATTAATTTAATTGTTGTGTTCGAATCTAAATATGCATTTTTCATTGTGACCGACCTCCACGAAGATTTCGAAGTAAAATTGTTTTTTGGCTCGAATTTTAAACATTTATTTACACTAATTAATTAACGAAATCAAGGATACATATTCCTCCTTCATTCATTCATATTGAATATATTTACAAAAAAATTTGTAAGACTGTAAATTACATAAACATCTCCTTCACGATTTTATTTATTTAGATTTTCACCCCTCAAGTTTTCTTCAATTTCATATTTGGTCCTCAGGTTCACAAAAACTATATTTGATCCCTCACCTAGTCATGTTTCAAAAATTCAGCATTTTGAGTCATTCCCGTCAATTTTCCGTTAAAACTAACGGAATCAAACGTGTTTCCATAACTACCGTAAGTGACGGACTAACGCTAATTTGATAAAAAGGATCAAAAATGATAATATTAAAACATGAGGGACCAGATGTGAAATTGGAGAAAATTTGAGGAATGAAAAACTGTAAATTTCCCATAGGTATTTGTAAAAATAAAAGCAAATTATTTTATTTATTATTTTATGAATATTTGGTAAAATATAATTCCAGAATATGCAAAAACACTACGCACGCACAACCATGCAGTACTTCTTATTTAATTCGAAACACACAACATTAATTTAATTAAAGTCCAAAAGACGAAATTAGCCCTCATTAATTAATTAATTAATTACTACACTCATCGTGTAATAAACAATTAATTATTTATTTAACTCTCGCGCATGCATATATAGAATATTATTATTTGACGGAAAAGTTTTAACAGTGTTTAGTGCAGAAGCAACGGCGGCGGAAGCCACGGCAGTGGCCGCCGTGAAAGCCCTCAGTCTGACACACCGCCGCACAATTGGCTTTCCTCGCACAAATTCCCTTGAAACGGTGGCTCTTTGCTTCGCATGTCCTCGTTGCCTCTGCCACCATTCCTTTTTTTTTCCCCAATAAACAATTTAAATAAAAAAAAATTAATTAATTGAATTAACAAATTAAATGAGCAAATAAGAATTGTTAATTAATTCTAATTAATGGTTGAGAAATTACCGGTGGAAAAGACAAGCATCACCATGAACAAAGCAGTTGCAAACAACCTCAAAAAACTGGCCATCTTCTCACGTACAGATGTGTGTGTGTGTGTGTGTGTGTGTGTGTGTGTGTGTATATATGCGTGTATAGATAGATATGTGTGAGTAAGAAAGACTTAGTATTGAGGCCTATATTTATAAGGTTGAATAGGGTAGGAATGTTCTCCTAACTTTAATTTTTTTGAATAATAAAATAATTTAAAATAAAGGATTAATCGCACTTAACCCCCTGTGGTTTGAGCTTTCTGTACATGAATCTCTTGTACTCTCAATATAAGCACATGACCCCCCTGTAGTTTGAACTTTGTGCACATGGCCCCCTTATACTTTTAATATAAGTACATATAACTCCCCTATGATACGGTATTCCACTTGGTAAATAATCATTCTCGTTATGAAGGGGAAATTTTTTAAAGTACAATGGGGTTATATGTGATTATATTAAAATACAAGGGGGTCATGTGCTATATTGAAAATATTAGAGGGTCGTATGTAAAAGGTTCAAACCACAGGGATTAAAGTGCTATTTAATTTAAAATAAACACAAACACGTACACAAATTAAAGAAGATCAAAAAAGTGAAAGCTGATAATGCACTAACATTGCCTAGGGACTTTTTTGGTTAACAAAATCAATAATGTATGCAACTTTTTAAAATTGTATATTTGCATAATTAGGTGTACATGTTCTCAGTTTCTCCTTTTTTGCACCAAAAAGTATGAAATTTGGTGGTTCTCCCCCACTCGTTACTACTACTTTTTAGCTTTATTTAATTATCTTTTTTCAATTCTACTCCCTTTTCTTTTTTTCTTTTCCCATTGTGCAGTTTGCTTCTGCAGCTAATTTTCAAAATAAAAATGCTCAAAGTTTCCATCTACGGTACAGCAAGATTTCTATAGCTTTTTAGATGAATCTTTCAAGTATAGCAAAAAAATAGGGCAAATTGCACGTCACCCCCCTATAAATTTTTAATTTTCGCACTTTAGCCACTCAAAATTTAAAAAAGTGAATTGCCTCCTTTCAAAATATTATACTTATTGCACATCGCACTGATAGTAAAATTTCGATGGATATATTAACTGGAATTGATTGTTTTGATTTGCACGTTGCCCCCTAAAAATATTATTTTTCTGCACACTGTCCCTTTGAAATATTATTTTTATTGCACGATGCCCACCAAATATTGACTTTTGGGTCAAAGTGCAACTAAAACAATATTTCAAGGGGGGGTTATCACTTTTCTGAATTTTTAGAGGGAAAGTGCAAAAATAAAATTTTTATAGGGGTTGAAGTGCAATTTGTCCCAAAAATATTCTTTTGTCAGATAATGATAAAGCAAAGCACATAATTAAGTAATGTCTTTCACATTGTGAATCATTTAGGTGTTGGTATCATTATCTTGTTTGATTTGAGTGACCCACCACTTATTCTGAGTAATCCATCTTTTATTTGAGTGATTAATTTGCCATATGATGTTAGTTATATAAATTAAATTTAATTAACTAGCTACCACGTCATTAAGGTTTACTCTAACTTCTAATTAGTGGTATTAGAGTCTCTTCCGTCTTCAGATTTGATGAGATCGAAGTCGGAACCCATCTTATGCTCAAATCAGAATCGAAGATAATTATTATTCTTAAAAATTAGAGAAAGGCATAGTAGTAAAATAGTGAAATTCGTATTTATAATTATGGCAAATTACGGCCGCCCCCTGAGGTATGACCAAATTACGAAAGATACCTCTTATTTGGATAATAGTTAGGGGTGACTATAATTACCAAACATGAGGGAGGTTTTCGTAATTTGATTATAACTCAGGAGTGGCCGTAATTTGCCCTTATAATTAATAAGAAGTCCTGATGTGCCAAGATTTTCTCTATGGGCACTACGTGATGGGTCTAATTTTTTGTTTTTATTTTATCGTTTGTGGATCATAGTAATTGGGCTTTATAACTTGAATTCTGGCCCATAAGTAGCCATTTGCGTGAAACATAGAGCTACAATATTCTTTTATTTTAGTATTTTATCTCGTAATGTACACCACAAATACATGGCATATAAAGAATACATTTTGCCACCCGAATTTTTCTATATTTTGCGGAAAATTGCACGGGCACACTCAAACTCACCTTTTTGATGCACATAACAATTTGAGTAGAATATTCTGGCGAATATTCTGGCAAATATTCTCATTTTTCGGCGCACGCACGATTCACATGCTTAATGTAAGGGTTTTTTTGGTCTTTTCCACTCAAAAAATTGTGGGCCCTAATTTTTTTCTAAATTAGCTTTGTCATCCAACACTTAAATTGACTGTTTAGGGTTGAATTAGAAAGATAACACAAGGGCTACAATTCCGTGTTTTATTATTCCAAAATCGGATTAAAAAATGGTCAAACTCACATTCTAAATCAAAACAATATTAATAAATGTAAACCGCATTTAATATTCTATGCCCGTTTGGTTGGTAAGATAAGATTAGCCAAAATAAAATTTAATAATCTAATGATATTCAATTATTTATTGGAGCTCACCACGTCCAACAAAAGAAACTCACTCGAAGGCAAGATAAACCATGATTACATAATTTTGGCGGGTTAACCCAACAATTTATTGGTGATACCGAACATCATATTAAGTCAATTATTTAATTAATCTTAGTTTATCTTGTCAACTAAATGGAGCCTTTATTGCATGACGTGATTAAATAATATAAAATATAAAAATATGAAAATGCAATAGTCAATGCAGTAGAAGGAGATACTTAAACAAATTGGCATAGTAGGTGACAATATCATCTAACAAAGATTAAATAATTACTAGCATAGTTTTGCAGCAACATTTTCCAAATTAAAATATGAAATATTCAAACAATCAGACAAATGCTGATTGACTTATAAATTAATAAAAATAATAAAAAATAAATAAAAAGGCTGATTGAATAACAATAAAAACAGTCGTTTTGACTTTATCATGAAAGCTAATTAGGCTACAGCCATCAGATATCCATTTTTTGTTATTTTCGAAAGATTTGTTATCTATATAAAATCGTTGTATACTGAAGACAATTGTTATGTTAGAATTATTATATTTATATTTAAACCTTGGCTTAAATATATATTTTGTAATTTGCCTTTTATTTTTTTATTTTTTTTTATTCCTTTTTCGAAAAAATGAGATTCACATATATATATATATATATATATATATATATATATATCAAAAATAAATAAATAAAAAATCACACAGCTCACTCCTTGAGTATCATATGCTTCCCTCTTTCAGCAGTGACTCTCATCCTTCAATTTCTCTCTCTCTCTCTCACACACACACACACACGCTCCCTCTCTCTCTTTCTCTCTCTTCTCTCTCTCACACACATACACATACCAAATCGTTTCAAAGCAGAGAAGACTCAAAACCCCGCAATTAACTGACCCTTCTTCTTCGTCCATCTTTCATAAAATCGATTCAGGAATCAGGCAAACCACAGCTTCCACTTTCACAGAAGCAAATCATCTCTCACACTCGAAGAAAAAAAAAAAAAGGTCGAATCTTTACTACAGCTGCAAAATCGTGTTCATACTGTAACTACAGCAAAGTAGAGATGGACACCAAGTCGTTAAGATTCATAACCCACCAATCATTCTTCTCCGCCGTCCGATCCAACGATCTCGATTCCATCAAGAAACTCATCCACAGTGAAGGCCCCGATCCATCTTCTCTGTTATCCCTTCAGAACGATGACAGGGAAACTGCCCTGTACGTAGCCGCAGAGAATAACTTCCTCGATGCTTTCGTCTATTTGCTGGGCTTCTGCGATTTGCAGACCGTTATGATTAGGGCCAAATCGGATATGGATGCCTTCCACGTGGCAGCTGCAAGGGGGCACCTTGGTAATTAAATTGATTATATTCTTGTTCCTTCAATTACAAATTAGAGGGTTGTTTCTGTCAAATGGAGTGGATGCTTAGTGAATATACATCAAGGTGTTCGATGATATGCCTGAATGAATTTTTTTTCTTTTTGGTTTTTATTGGATTAAAGAAAGTTGCTCTTGTTGTCGTTAAAAGTTGTAGATGGATATATATTTTTTGGTTAAATTTTTCACAAGAGCTGTAATAATTCGAAATTACTCGTTTTATCCAGGAATCGTGAAAGAGCTTCTTAAGAAATGGCCCGAGCTTTGTAAAGTGTGCAACGCTTCGAACACGAGCCCTCTTTATTCAGCTGCAGCGCAAAACCATCTACAAGTAGTGAATGCCATATTAGATGCTGATGTCAGCTCGATAAGAATTGTGAGGAAAAACGGGAAAACTGCGTTGCATTTGACTGCGAGGTACGGCTTGTTGGATATGGTGAAGGCACTAATCGAGAGGGATCCGGGAATTGTGGCGATTAAAGATAAGAAGGGGCAAACTGCTCTGCATATGGCTGTCAAAGGTCAAGATACTTCTGTGGTTGATGAATTACTCGAAGCCGATCATTCGATATTGAACGTACGTGACAAGAAGGGAAATACGGCTTTGCATATCTCCACTCGGAAAAGCCGTGCTCAGGTATAATATATATAGTTTTTTTGGCGTATTTTTCTTGGCGCTCCTTTTGCTAGTTTCTATCTTCTTCTTTTTTAAAGCAATTTTGCATAAATAACAGCTATAGTTAATTTACATATGTGTCCTAAAAACACTAAAAATTGGAACGGAAATCAAGAAACTCGCCAAGAAAAATACTCCAAAAAAAATTGCATTTTCTCGTCGACTTAAGTTATCCGCGCACGTGATTTGATTTAGCAATCTTTTTTTTTAACAGATAGTTGCCCTTTTGCTAACGTACCGAGCCATCGACATCAACGCAATCAACAACCAAAATGAAACCGCAATGGACATATCCGACAAGCTCCAATACGGGACCCACGCCCTCGAAATCTCCGAAGCCCTCACGGAAGCCGGCGCAAAAAACGCCCGACACATCGGCCAATCGGACGAAGCCTCAATAGAGCTCAAACGAACCGTGAGCGACATCAAACACGAAGTCCACTCCCAACTCATACAAAACGAGAAAACTCAAAGACGAGTCTCCGGCATAGCCAAAGAGCTCAAAAAAATCCACCGAGAAGCCGTCCAAAACACAATCAACTCAGTGACAGTTGTCGCCGTCTTAGTGGCCTCCATCGCCTTCCTCGCCCTATTCAACTTACCGGGTCAGTATCTGGATCACGGGTCGGAAACGGGTCGGGCGAATATATCCAAAACCGTTGCTTTCCGGGCTTTTTGCCTATTGGACGCAACTGCCCTTTTCATATCTCTTTCCGTCGTTGTGGTTCAAATAACGCTAGTGGCGTGGGATACGAGTGCGCAGAAGAGAGTTGTTTCGGTGGTGAATAAGCTAATGTGGGCCGCGTGTATTAGTACGTGTGGGGCGTTTTTGTCAATTTCGTTTGTTGTTGTGGGGAAGAAGAGCTCGTGGATGGCTACTACTGTGACTGTGGTGGGCGGTCCGATTCTTGTCGGGACTTTGATGAGTTTGTGCTATTTTGTCTTTAGGCAGCATTTTGGCGGCAGTGATTCTCAGAGAAGGATTAGGCGTGCGAGCGGGAGCAAGTCCTTTTCATGGTCTTATTCTGCGAATATTTCGGATTTGGATGAATATAATTCGGACGACAAAATTTATGCGTTGTGACGACGAAAAAAATAAAAATCGATGTTTCCGACTTTTCGCGAGGTGTTGTGCTAGAATTTGGAGATCTTTTTATGGCTATTGTAGTAAAATGGGGTTATTTTGGTAAGTGTATTAAAGCATAGTTTTTATTCTACGTTGTGAAATATAAAAGAAGTCTGTTGTATAGTCTTTTTGTCTACAAACTTTGTCGATTTTAATATAAATACTGACTTCATAAGTATTTGCAATGAAGATGCACAGAAACTACCTGGCTTCTATCGAATCGAGTCGAGTCGAATGTATAATCTTTAAGTTTGTTTGATTTTTCATTGAACATTGAAATTATATTTGACCTTGAAGAATTTTAACTTTGTCAAAAAAGAAATAAATAAAAAGATTTTATTAATTGTCGGGCCACTCCAATGCGTCACTTAAAAGGGGGTGTTTGGTTAAGTTTATAAGCCCTTAAAAACAGCCCACGATGGGATTATCAATTACATGTTCAAAAGCCAATGGCCTGTTGACCTCCGCCTTCACGGGGAGGCTGTTGAGGTGTTTATCTGGTGGAGACGTGGCGGCAGAAGGCGGCGAAGGTGGGAACAACAAGGGAGGTTGATATTGCTTGACTTCGTTCTCTATTAATGGAATACATTATGTAAACCAGCAACATATATTACCAAGGATCCGTGGCGCAATGGTAGCGCGTCTGACTCCAGATCAGAAGGTTGCGTGTTCGATTCACGTCGGGTTCAAAATTCCCGAATTTCAGATCCATTTCCTTTTTAATTCTTCAATTTTCATCTTTTAGGTCTTGTTTCCTTTGTACTTTGGTTGAAATACACCACATTTAAATTATTTTTTAGTATTTTAATAAAATATAGGGTTAAATACAAAAACACCAATGTACTATGGACTTTGTATCATATACCCCATGTATTATACATAAATACAAAAACCTCCCTTCAGTTATATTTTTTCCCAAAATATGACAAAAATACCCTGCTAAGCCTATAAATATAAGGGTTTGTTTGAGCCATTTTCCACTATATTTTCCCTTTTATTTTTGTCATTTGAATTTCTTCATTTTTTCTTAAATGTCTTCCGATAGTTCAAATTCTCAACAATAACAGGATTGTAAAGATGTTTGTAATCTTAGGATGTTTGAACTATCGGAAGACATTTAAGAAAAAAAAAATGTAGAAACTCAAAATGACAAAAATTAAAGGTTTTATTCAAAAAATTAAAAAAATCTAAGCAATTAGATGTTTTGGAGATAAATATAAATACCAAAATTCACACGTAAAATTGACTGAAAATGGTAAAATGTATAGTTGAATATATATATATATATATATGGATAGTTTTGTATTTAACCCTAAAATATTTATACATTATATTTACTAGTAACCATAACCTGTGTGTTGCACGGGTACCAGTATAAAACAAAAGATATTTAAAACTTAATATGTTGAATATAATGAAATTCAATAATTGAAAATACATCATACCATAAGAAAATCGTAAAAAGAAACCATAAAAAAATATATTTAAAACTTAATATATTAAATATAATGAAATTAAATAATTGAGAATACACCACGCCATAAGAAAATCGTACAAAGATGGATAAATAATACTAAGAACTTGATTAATACAATTAACTATAGTTTTAATGATTGACCAATCAAACCTAAGGCTCTATAGCTTGTCGAAGTACAACAACATATTGTCACTTATCATTTCTTGCTTCGTTGTTTCTCAATCCTCAAGAGTCAAGATTGATATGTGCAGAAGTTATGACAAAGTGAACAAAACCATGTAGTAGATATGAGAAGAGTCACAAAGTACTGATAGTGTGCTTGTATGAAAACGTAAGTAAACTATCAATAGGAGCTATAAAAACGACCAATAGATCGGTATCGGTATCGGTAAAACAAAAAAATCAACTTTTACAGCTCACAAATTTACCTAACCAATGTTCTCAGAAAAAGCATCCGAAAAAATACCAAAATGGTATTTCCATAAGTCAAGTCTTCATAGGAGCATTATAGGCTTTAACAATCTATCTATCAACTAAAATCACCACACAATTAAACCAAACAATATCAACCCGAAAACCTTATAGGGCTTCCCGAACTGAGGTAGTGCCGCTTCAAAAACAGGTTACGCCTTTTCCCATGTAACTATGTCTCCAAGATATTTCTCTAGTCTTTGGAAAATAAAATAAGGATATTTTCTTCTTCAATATCAACACAAATCAGGTTTTACATGTACATAAAGTTATGGTTTATATGCACTTAAAAGTTAGGACCATGATAATGATAGAAACTCTTCAAAAAAAATATACATGATAGAATATATAACATAATTTGCAATTAAAAATTATTTCCAGATACCACGTACAACCAATCTATATTTATATCTGTGGTTTGATTAAATCACATAAGTTGTTGAAGGAATCACATAAATATTATAACTATCGGGATTAAATCCATACACAAATTCAGGCTGGTGTTCGAGTCCAGACCATAGTCCGAAGAGATATTAGACGAATTCAATTTCATCTTGCTATTGCCATCTGATAATTCTTCTCTTAAATTCTCTAATCGATAATTCAAATCCGTCAGCCCCGAATGCATAACCTTGAATATCAGATTCTACACGACACATAACGAATTCACAGAGAGAGTAATCTCTAGCAAATGAAAAAAAAAATCTCTAAAAAGACAAAAAACTTACCCCTAGCAAAAATTGCATTTCATCATCATGATCACGAAACAGATAACGGGGAAAAAAGTTGTCTTTATATAAGATTTATATAAACAACCTTAGTTGCAAAATCTGGCAAACAATGAGGAAAGAAAAAACAATCAAATGTTGATGTAAAATTCTATATGATAAAACCAAATTAAAGTAACAGTTTATAAAATGAATTTCGAGGTGTATTCCAATGTTAAAAGAAACTTATTCCAAGCGCTGGCCTCAAAATATTTTTAAGCTTATAAACAGAGGGAATGATTTTATCGAGTCATCTTCATAGGGCGGGATCCCGTTCATGTGACGTTTCATGTCTTCATCTAATAACCAATTACGTACTCTTCATCTTTGCTTCCATAATTTATCAAAGGAACTACAAATGACAGAACCTACCAGAGTAAGATTGAAAATTAAATATATAGTGCTTAAATATTCAGTAGATGTAGCGAAAAAAAGGAGAAAAAAACCTTAAATGCTCACTCATTTTTGTCTGATGAGAAAGCTTCTTTCGTCCCGCAATCTCAGTCGTTGAAATCACTTGATTTCCAAATTCTCTATCACCAAAATTGCGGGGTCATATAAAAACTTGTGCACATGATCAGGAAACCTCTGTATTTTCAATTATCTCATTATCGTAATTCTTAATTTATAGGAAACATTTCCCATCATTTTCGTCTCATATTCTTCATCATGTGTCTACAACAAACAAATGGGGTTAAAAGGCGTTTATGAATTTCTAGCAGATTATATTTCGGATGAAAAAATCTATTCCTAAATCGTTGTATAATATTCTTATCATCTTATATCCTTGTGATTGTGAAAACTTGCCAACACGCTGATTTCTGCTTCGAATAGAATGTCTCAACCAAAAAAATCCATGGTCGCGTGCATTCTCCAAATTTGTGACAATTATCAAATATCATAATATCATTAAGAAATATATTGAATCGAAAAAGTTGTTTACAATTATCTTTAATTACATTCAACGAAATTACCAACTTATGAAGACTTGGCACCGGAGACTGCATCAATTTGTTTTGGGAAATCCAAATTACCAAAATTTAGTCAAAAAAAAAAGGAAAAGTAATATATGTTGGAAAAACAAACAAAAAAAAAAAAAAAAAACACACATGTAAATAAAATAAATTTGGAAACAAAGTAATACATCGAATCGTTAACAATAACAACACCAAAAAGATTGATGGAAATTTGATGTCAGACGATTGTAATAACAAATCAAATACAAATATATAATCCTAATTCGGAAACACAATACATAACTGCCCGTCTTACTTCTCTAGAGAGATCCGGCTTGTCTTTGTTCCATCTCTGTTGTTTCCTCTGCATTCGAATTTACGAAGCGAATTTGCAGAAATGAAGTGAGAAATGGTAGGTAAAAACTTATAGTAGGGGGTGCGAAAGGGGATGAAAGAGAGAAAATTGTAACCGCATATGAAATGTAGGGGGATGAAGAAAGAAAAACAAATTTAGGGAATAAGGAAGATCGTGTACTGAATTTTCTTCGGAGTGAACGGTTTTTGTGTTCAACATTGTTTGAAAGAAAAAAAATATAAAAATAAAAAATTGACTAAAATGCGTTGCACGGAATACCATTACAAAAGAGAAGAAAATAATTATTTAAAATTTAATTTGTTCAATATACTGAAATTAAATAATTGAAAACACATGACACCATAAAACAATTTAAAAAAAAAAGATAAACAATATTGAACACATGTTGAATACAATTAATAATAGTTTTCATAATTGAACAATCTAACCAAATGCTTCATATGTTGGCGCAGCCTAGCATATCATCATTTGACACCTCTTACTTTGTTGTTTCTTAACATCCTCAAGATTGATACTTGAGGAATCCGTGACAAAGTGTACGCAAAGACTCTTTAGTTTTGATAAAAATCATAGAAAAAAATTTATAAAAATAAATAAGTAATAAAGTAGTAGATGGACATAGAAATAAGAGAGTCTCAAGGTACACCGAAGAATTGTTGTTAGTTTCCACCTCCAACGAAGATGAGTCATTCACAACCCTAATTTTGATTAAAACACAAAAGAAAATTCAAATATGAACGATTTTCTTGGAACATATATGTATTTATTATATAGTGGATGTGGGAAGTTATTAATTAACGGGGAGTTACTGCAGGTGGGGAGTTGTTGTAAATGTGTGTTATTAGAAAAATTATAGATAATAAATATTACTGAAATAGGTAGTGACGATAATAATTGTAATAAAAATAAATAAATTTAAATTTCAGTAATAGCATTAACATTTCTACAAATTTGATAATGCAGCATGATAACTACGCAAAATACTTAACAAAAATTCTTCTATCTTGATTAAGTAGTTAGATCTTGTTGCGGGTCGCATTTTATTGTGCAATTCTTTTCTCGGATGCAGCAAAATCAGTTTCGCGATCACGTCACTCTACAACTAAAATAGACGACTATGTGCAATA